CAAAGATATGACAACACTGTACGTGGATGGATGCTCATTCCACCACGAACAAACCTGCAAATCAGGTGTTGGAGGGATCCTCCTCCAAGACCAACAAGAGGTCACTTTTAGCTATAAATTAGGCTCTCAGACTTCTCAGTACGCTGAGATAGTAGGAATCCTAATAGCTCTCCAGATGGCAGTAGAACGCTCCATCCAAACGTTAGTCATCTGCACGGACTCTAATTACGCTCGACTTAGGTTCTTGTGTCATCTCGCTCTGTGGAAACAGAACGGCTTTCTCACAAGCAACAAGAAAGTGGTCAAACACAAAGAGCTTTTCATGGCATGTGATCACTTGGTGACATCACATGACCTACAGGTCTACTGGAAAAAGTTTCCAGGACATTCAAGAGAACTAGGTGATGACAAGCGGTATAATGACCTTGCAGACTTCCTAGCCAAGGACGGAGCTGTGATCGGCCCTCTGTGGTCCTTTGACCCCTCCTGGCTGCTCACAACTCTGTCAGTACAACCTACAGCCGAGGTAATGGCAGTCACATTTGCACAGGCTGCAGCCAAACCGGCTGACAACACAGTCTCTGTACAACCCGTGCTGACTGACCCGGTTATCATCCAACTTCAGAAGTTGGATCCTGTGATAAACTCGATGATGCTGTACTTGACTGACCCAGAGAAAAACACTCCGTCCAAAGCAGACCTGGATTCCAATCCAGACCTTAAAGTCCTCTTTCAGCTGCGCAAACAGCTAAAACTAATCAAGGGCATCCTAACTTTTGCTCATGGACCGACTTCCTCACCCGTGTTCGTGGTCCCCCATGACCACAGGGGGTGATGTTAGTTCATGCGCATGACCTCCCGTCCGCAGGACACAAGGGAGATAACGCCACGCTGAAAGCATTAAAACAAGTTGCTTATTGGCCTGGACTGAAAAAGGATGTCAAGAACTATATTAAAGGGTGCCTGGTCTGTGGCCAGTTTCAGCCATCCAGACCACTCCACAGAGCACCACTGCAAAGTAGAGGCATTGCATTCCCATGGTCCGACCTCCAGATCGACTGGGTTGGACCACTTACTAAGAGCACTAGAGGAAATAAATATTTTCTCACGGTAACTTGCGCATTTACCAAATGGGTAGAATGCCTACCAACTCCTAACGACACAGCACAAACAACTGCTATGTTACTAATGAATCATGTATTTTCAAGGTTTGGACTTCCCCTCAGGGTGAACTCAGACCAAGGTATGCACTTCACAGCTGAAGTGATGAAAGAATTGTGGAAGATGCTAGGCATCAAAGTCAACTTCCATGTTGGCTACCACCCACGGGCCCCAGGCCAAGTAGAGAGAGCAAACAGAACTGTGGTAAGTATTTTGAAGAAATACGTAGCCGCAAACCACAAGGACTGGGACGTGAAACTCCCTCTGGTCTTCATGGCCATAAGGGCCACTCCACACACATCGACTGGCATCTCCCTTCGAGATGATGACGGGTCGACAAATGACTCTCCCTCTACACCTGTTGTACCAACCAGGCGATGCAGCCATGGCAACAGCCTACACCACACAACAATACATGAATGATTCGGAGGAACACCTTAAAAACGCCTTTGCGTTTGCCCAGAAAAACCTGGAAAAATCCGCTGAAGGACAAAAGGCGTACTATGACCAAAAGGCCTCTCACGAGGAACTCCAAGTGGGCGATAGGGTCTGGTACTACACGTTCACCCCCACAACCGGGAAAAGAGAGTCCGGGACCGGAACTCTCGCCCGCAAACTGATGCCCAGGTGGACTGGACTCCACCTGATAACAGACAAACTGTCTCCGGTTGTCTATCAGGTCAAAATCAGCAAAGGCCAGAAGGAGCCAATGGTTAAATGGGTACATTGAAACCAGGTTAAACTACACAAGGCGTTCAATAACTCCACAAGAGACAAAGATCTCACAAACTCAGACCTAGTGGGAAAAAGGGTCGTCCAAGCAGAAACTAAATAAGTTTAAGCTTAATTAAGTGTTAAGATAACAACTCAGATGCGATAACGTGATCAAATCTGACAGTCGGAGTGAGTGACGCACCGAAACGTAGTTTTCTAGCTGCTTAATCACTACTTTTGTCGATGTTGAAACGTTGTTTTTCTGGTTGCTTAATCACTATTTTTGTCGATGTTGAGACATCGTTTAATTGGTTTTTGGTATTGTTTCTGAACACCCCCAGCAAGAAGGAATTTTGTGTGTACTTTAGGTAGAGACTAAAAGGACTTTAACTATGCCAACATGCAGTTCATTTGTTAAAATTCAATCTTTGAGGAGTCAATGTAGATTAATGCTACCTTAAGTACTATAACCTACATTGGTCTCACGACGCTCAAGCCGAACCTACTCGAACAATCCTATTCCGGGTGGGTGGGTGGGTGGGGGGGGGGGGGGGGCGCTAGCTAATCCTTCAGTTGAGTCTCGCCATAAACTCCAAAACATTTAGGGGAAAACCAAAAACCAAACCTCAAGTCGTTCGTCTAAAAGGACAACAGACAATGGAACCAAACTATATTTTGCCATGTAAATCTAACTTAAACCAAGTTAGGAATGGAAAAATAGTTTGGAATGCCTTCTATAGGTATAAATCCCTATATATAAATTTTCAGCAAAACCCACCCCTTTAAACTGGTAACTGTAGCTGATCTAAACCATGATAGCGTACACATCAGGTGCATATGGGTTAAGGTCTTATGTAAAATCCCACTCATAAGCCCAACTAAAACCACATAAATGCATAACACATAGAACCAGAATGGCACCCACTGGGAACCACCAGCAGCAACCTTTGCTGAAGGGACCTACAGCTCCAACGTGGGTCTCCAATCTCCATCCAGTGGTCGCCTCTGTAGTTCAATCGAGGGAACCCCTCTGCATGCTGATCAATTAACACCTCCAATCGTTGTGGATTTATCGTTGTGGATTATATGACTTTTTCCAATGGATTACAAACTTTGTTTCCAAGGGGTCAAAGCATTGCTATAATGGAATTACCCACAACCTTATGGAATTACCAACAACATTGTGGAATTGCCTAAACCGTTGTGGGATTACCTTATTTGACTTTTGTTTTCCTCTTGTTGGATTACATCAAGCTCAAGGACATTCGGAGGCGTAAGTTCATGTTGGAATTCATCCCCATGGACAGGCGATGATTTCCAAAGGGGGGACTGTAGTGAACTCGGCCTCCGACCAAAACCTGCCTCTGAAGACCTTCATGGGACAGGAACTGTTATTTCATTGATTTGAATCCAGAAATACAAATTAGCTCATCCAGAGACTGTCTAATTGTATCCTGAAGTAATCAATTGAAAGAACACTCTTCTTTTTATATTATCATTACTATTTTACAATATCTTGATAATCAAAAGTGTGTTTACTTCATACCATTTCTAAATGTTGAAGTGAACCACTCATTTTAAATCAACTGTGAAACAGTATTAATGATTTTTTAATCCTCATTTAAATTAGAAATCAAGTTAAATGTCTATTTACAAAGTAATTATGCATTTTGATCTTCTTTCTGAATCAGAAGTATTGATGTCGGTCAAAAGTCAGAGACAGTTAGAAAGAAGTTTTTAGAACAGGCTGTATTGTTTTTAAACCTAGCAGATGGTAAAAAGAGAAACACTGGCACCTGCAAAGTTTCTCACTTCCTCAAAACATTTCCCTGTCTGTACTAAACATTCCTAAACATTCTTGCAATTTCTTGACTTGTAATAACCCTCTGACATCACTAGAACCACCCCCTGTTGGTTGTTTCAACCAATCAGGAAGTCCTGAATTGACCAGAAGTGAGAACTCTTTAAAAGTCCACACTTCCTGGAACTTCTAGTCTTCAAGTGGGTCTCCTGAGCCTCTCAGTCTTCAGAGTCTTTGATGGAGTCTTCCACATCTGAGTGGAAACTCTGACGGACCGACAGCTTGCCCTGTATCCACCTGGGAGATGAGCGTGTTTATTGAACGGAGTAAACGACACGACTCCTGGCGATGGCCAGCCGCTCCTACCAGAGACGCTGGAAGGTAGCGTTGAAATGGACCCGACACCGGAGCTGATTAATTTCTGCAAAGGTAACGAGTCGTGCCGCGCCAAGTGTACCGGAGATTTGAGCTGGTGTTGAAAGGAGCGTGCCATTCTGCTGTCCGAACAGACATCCCCCTTCACCCATCTTTTCTCTTCATTCCTTCCTTTAAAACTCTTCTATTTTGCCAGTAATCTTAATGCCTTCAGAAATGTCTTGTTTTATTAAGTAAAACGTGCCAAGTTTTATTAATCAGAACCAGATCAGCTAATCACGTGTACATGTTTTGATGTTAAATTTTGATTCTGTTAAATAAATGACCATTTATTCTGATGGGTCAAATGAAATTAACGTCTCATGTCACTGATTTAAACACAGTCCTCACAGTACCTCGTCACATGGCCTTAATTTAACTCGAAAAAGAGAGAACCCGCTATACTTAAATAATTAGTAGTGAAAGGTGCAGCTAAGCTGGCCCTGTCATCACTACATTAGCTTTCATGGCTGCCACAGCTATTCAAATTCAAGTCAATTTATTGTCATTTCCATCACATGTGGTACACAGAGTTCCAACGATCCCAATTCACTCAGCCTTAAACAAAAAATTGTACGTCAGTAGATTTTACAGATATAGAAGGAAAAATAGGTGTGGTACTAGCTGAGAGTCATTCATAACACACTGAGTGCTAACAGATCACGCAAGATACTATAATATTGCAAAATTGTGTGCATAATATTTTCAAGGTTTGCGTAAAAGGGCTATATTTTCATCATTTCTCAACATAAAAAGGTTGTTTTATAAAATGTGAAAGGTAGCAGGTGTATTCCTTTAATGAATACCAGGCCTTTCAATTTTATGAAGGAACAATTGTATTGTTTTGCTTGAATCGAAGTATGCTCCTTTGAGCACTGTTTTATCGCTGAACTTCTCTTTTCTCTGCCAGGATGATGGTGACTGGATACAGACGCCCACTGGAGGAGAAAGATTTATGGTCTTTGAATGCTGAGGACTGTTCACACAAAGTGGTGCCCCAGCTGGTGCACTGCTGGAACTCAGAATGCCAAAAGGTCAAGAGGTCAGGAGACAATAATGTGTTTAGTACTTTTGTAAAAGAGAGGGTAAACCAAGTAATGCTTCTGTTTTTGTTGATTCTGCTAGGTAACCCCTTTTTGTTGAACAGCTTCTCCTGATTTCTCAGTCAAACTGCTATCAAATATTTATCTTAATCACACAGCATGGAAAGGCAGGTTATATATATATTTTTTTGCCTGTGTCTGCATATTTACATGTTTTTAAATAAATATTTATAGATTTATTTTAATTAATAAATAAAGGGGCGGCTGTGGCTGAGTGATTAGAGCAATGCGAGAGTTGGGGGTTTGAATCTACCAGCAGTCACATGCTGAAGTGTCCCTGGGCAAGACACTGAACCCCTCATAGCCTCTGATGTGTGTCCCATCAGTGTATGAATGTGATCTAAAGCACTGATTAGTCTCTTTAGAATGATTTGTAAAATTAGCTTTGTAGAGATCTAACAGAGTGCTGTATGAATGGGTAAATGAGGACACAGATTGTAGTGTAAAGTGCTTTGAGTATCTTGAAATAAGATAGAAAGGTGCTATATAAGTACACTCCATTTACCATTTAATATTATAAGAACGAGAGCAAAGAACAAGCAATCTTCCCTCCTTAAAGCAAAAATAAAAAAATACATTGACTCTTATCTTTGCCCACTCACCAACATATATAGGACAGCACATTTGTAAAACAAAATAATTAAATAATTGATAACTAATCCAGCCAGTCTTTTCACACATAACGATTGTTGCATCAAAATGCTGTGATATCTAATGTTAAAAATATCAAACAATAGCTAGTTTCTCAATGAATTATATAAAAAGGTCCAATATTTAAATAAATGTGTCTTTATGACTTGTGCTGTTATATTTCAGCTTCTGTAATGGGGATTGTAACACATTTGCAAATGAGGGGGATCTTGCTGATTTCTACTTCATACAAAGTATTCTTTACACCATCAATGTTAAAAAGGTTGTATTTTTCTGCATGGTGTCAAATTATACATTATTGAGTTATTCCAAAAATAGCAATGGCAGGATCAGGAGCTACATCCATCTATCCATCCATTATCTTTCGCTCGTTCCGTAGTCTGGTCACGGAAGCAACAGCTTAAGGGGAGAAGCCCAAACATGTCTTTCCACAGCCACCTTTTACAGCTATTCTGGAAGGACTCCGTGGTGTTCATTCATTCAACCTTTATTTAAACAGATAAATCACAATGAGTCTCAAAGACTCATTTACAAGCGAGACTTGTTTGAACAGACAACAAAAAGTGGTGAAAATGACAACAAAGGGTTTGGAGACTGACATCTACCTTAAGTCTGTGTCAGTCCACTCGGTGCCAAAAAAATTCCTAACATGCTCTCAATTTTTGGCTGAAGGTTAACAGCATGATAATGGGGGAAAAAAAACTTTTACACGAGCACATAATGACACCGACATTCCGCAGGGGAGGGGGACGCAAGGACGGTGAGCATGTCCAGAGCCAACACACAGAGGAACTGCAAAGTTCAGATAAGATTACTCAGTTCACATAGTTCCATCTGGAGAGATCCGTACACTCTCAGGGGTGCTGAGGACGGCCAAGGACGTCAGATAGAATCCAGAGTCCTGAAATGATGACGGCTTTGGCTGGGCCCCTCTGATTGGACTGTAGACTTCCTCGGTTGGAGGGGGGGAGGGGCAGAGCATCAAAGGTTTACAAAGCTTCCAGGCGAATTAAGATAAGGTAGCTTGTCAAGGCCAGTCAGGGAGCATGATTGTTTTGGGGACAGGCAGAACTTTACTGACATCTACCATAAGTCTGTGTCAGTCCACTCTGTTCCAAAATGTCCAAATTAAATCGCCACACCACTAGACCGTACCTGAAAGTAATCCCTGAGATCTGATCCATCCTGCCAAAAGCATTTGAGTCTGGGTGCTTGAGGCATTAACCAAGCCATCATATAAGGCAGGCTGCCTGACCAGGTCCAAATTTTCTGCCGACAACTTCCTTGTTTGTTGATAAACAAGGAACCAGCCGAATCCAAAAAGCAGAAAACCAGTTATTATCAATCCAATTTTATATGGGTCCTTAACATCCACGAATGACAGCAGAGATAGACACATCATCAAGTCTTCCAAGTCGATGAGATATCCAGCTGCATGCGTGCCAACAGGGCAAATCGGCTCGCCTAAAGCCTGTCTTTTCTTCAAAAGAAATGTTATCAATTCTGTCGAAGGACCAAATGACCAAATCCATAGCAGAATTATGATTCAGAAGATTTGTAGAATAGAGACTCTAAAGCAGTTTTGCAGACAGGACAGAGCAAAGCAAAGCGGAGAGGGAGAGGAGGAGAAATGTGTCTGCCCTTGACAAGAGCAAGTGTTGAAGGATATAAGGGCAGCATAGATACATAGTCTCCAGTGTTTCCTGGATCTTCCCCCCAAGGTCTTCTCCCAGTTGGACATGCCCATAAAAAAGTCTGTCACCTAGGCGCCACTTGGTCATGAGTTGGAACTGGTGTTAGGGGAGACTGCTGGATAGACCCTGTAAACTCAGAGAAAAGGTAAGGGTGAAATGGGAACATCTGGTGGAGCCCCCCGTCTTACAGAGCTTCACCTTTTACCTCTAAGAGAGTTTTCACATACACTGCCTGGCCAAAAGAAAAAAGTTACCACCTGGATTTAACTAAGCAAATAGGTACAAGCCTCCTGTTAGATAATTACTGCATGGGCGATTATCTTTCAGCTGGCAACAAGTTATTTGAAGTACCATTATGTCGAAAACATTGCCTTCGACCTGAGAGATATTTTGAGAACCAGCCAATAGTGTGATCTGAGAAGCCAATATTTGAGAGCTTGTGGCATAAGATGTCATGATCTACTTACAATATCAAAGGCTTTGGACAGGTCTAAGTAAAGTGCAGCACAGTAATCCTTAGCATTGAAAGCTTCAAGAACATAATTAAAAACCTTTAGCCAAGCAGTCGTTGTGCTGTGTTGTTTTCTGAAGCCGGATTGGAGAAAAGATAAAATATTGAAAGAGTCCAAATACTTCTTGACTTTATTTATTTATTGCTTATCAGTTTTATTGTATTATTATTTATCAGTTTTTCTAAAACGTTAGCTAAATTACATAGTTTAGAGATTTGTCGATAATTGTTCAAAATAGTGGGATCTCCTCCCTTCAATAATGGCAGCACAAAAGCCGTTTTTCAAGCATCTGGGACAGTATTTTGTTGTATAGACAGATAAAAAATGTATGACACCAGTTCTGCTATAATTTGTGCAGCTAGACTTAAGAAGTAAGGGAGGTCATCAGGGCCTGCAGATTTTTTAATATCCAGATCTTTTAACAGTTTGGTAACCTCACTGACAGAAAACGGTGAAAAAGAAAATGGATGGTTTACTGAGGCTTGACTTGTTGTTGGAGTAGGTGATTTACCATTAGAAACTGTATCAAACAAGGAACTGGAGGCAGCAAATTGTTTGTTGAAACAATATAGCATCTCATGCTTATCTGACACAGAGGCAGAGTTGACAAATAATTGTGGTGGCAGGTCAAATGTGTGAATGCTGCCATCAAGAGATTTAATAGTTTTCCAGAAGCTCTTTGGATTGTTTAGATTTTTGGTAGTCTAAGATAGATAGTAGTTTTGTTTTGCAGCTTTAATGGAAGCTGTATAGCGATTCTGTAACTGACAAAATTGCAACCAATGGATGTCCGAACCAGTCTGTTTTGCTGTTGCCCAAAACTGATCCCTCCTGTGCAAGAGGTCAGCTAATGCAGAAGTAAACCAGGGACTATCCCGGCCCTGTACTCTGAACTGGAGAAGTGGAGCATGTTTATTTACAAAATGAATAAGACTATTATGAAAATAGTTCCAAGCAAGGTTTACATAATCAAGCACTTTGAGATTTTTGTTAATGAAAAGTGCGTTACAAATTAAATTCATTATTATTATTATTATTATCAATGATATGCGATGCCAGTCAAAGTGGAACAGATCCTAAATAAAGGCTTGCTCACAAAAATGCTTCATATTCCATTTGTAGGGGGATATGGGGCTGGATATATATATAGTTAATTATTAGTTATGAGTTAAGCTCAGGCAGCACGGTGGCGCAACTGGTAGAGCTGCTGCCTCTCAGCGAGCAGGTCCCTAGTTCAAATCCCGGTCCGGGGGCCTTTCTGGGTCAAGTTTGCTTGTTCTCTCCGTGCATGCGTGGGTTTTCTCCGGGTACTCCGGTTTCCTCCCACAGACCAAAAACATGCATGTTAGGCTGATTGGTAACTCTAAATTGTCCCTAGGTGTGAGTGAGCGAGTGAATGGTTGTTTGTCTCTATGTGGCCCTGTGATGGACTTGCGACCCATCCAGGGTGTACCCCGCCCTTTGCACAGTGATTGCTGGACATGGGCACCTGCGACCCCCGTGACCCAAAATGGAAGAAGCGGGTAAAGATAATGGATGGATGGATGGATGGAGTTAAGCTCATAAGATAAGCATTTATTATGAAAATAACCTTGTTTTGTGGGCACCACCTCTCTTGGAGAGGAAAAATCAGTCTCCATTTAACCCCAGATTAATGTAAAATGAAACACGAGTTCTTTTCTCGTGTTTAAAGGGCATCAAATCAGTTAATACACACAGATATGCCAAAATAATCACAAATTCAGTTGATTTTTATGTATTTTATTATAAAAATATTAATCTGTGATATATATGATGAAAGTTATGCATGACAAAATTAACTGAATATCAAATAGCTTTGCATCAAAGGTCTAATTGATTATTCAAATCAGTGAAACTTAAAACGCAGATTTTGACTGGTTCTGTTTGTGAAGTAGTTAAAATTGTGTCTAAGGTGAGTGGTAGTTTGTCTGATAAGATTATTGTGATGTTGGGTCACCAGAAAGGCATTAAAAGTCTCTTTCCTACCAGAATGAGATGTCAGAATGGTTTCCAACAGCTGCTTAAATTGATACCAGCAAGGCCTGAGATGCTCCGGTGACT